TCGCAATATTAATTATCATTTCGCAAGTTCTAAGATCAATATCAAAATTTAGCAGTCACATGTTTAGTACTCTCAACTCACAAAATTAATCAAGCAGTGACTTATATGATAAGAATTTAGAGATAAACTAGTCTTTGCAATTAACTAATAAAGTGAAATTAGCAGAAAAATACTGAGTGAAATTGATACCACCGTCGGGCTGAAAATCAGATCTGAATTAACCGTTGTTATAATCAATCTGAACAGTTGATTCTGAAGTTGATCTTCAGTTTAAGCTACAAACAGATCCTTATGCAATGATCAGGGCAGAAGATTTGTGGGTTCGTTGCTGCTTCGAAGCGGATGAAGGCAGAGAAAGGGGCGTCGGAGATCGGAAACATAACTCTGTACTTGGTGTTCTAAGTGGTTTAGCATATCTCTGTACTTGGTGTCTGGATGTTGGGAGATGTTGAGAATGGGTGGAGGCGGATCTGAGGGAGATGTTGGGAGCGGTTGTGGGAGGAAAACAAAAGAGCAGAGGGTGACCGGTGCTTGTAGAGGAGGAGAAGGAAGAGAGAGGGGATGCACAGCTGGTGGCGTTTGCTGAAGGAGAGAAGGGGAGGCTGGCGGCGCTGCTGCTCGGGGAAGAGGGAAGGCGGGGAGTTGGTGCGGCTGTTGGAGGGGACGATGGGGAGATGGTTGCGGGTTTTGAAGAGGAGCAGGAGAGGTGTTTGATGGGTTCTGGGAGTTGACGTGAATTAAAGGAAAAAAAGGAAGAAGATGAACAGTGACTGAGTTTATGAAGAGGAGAGAAGAAGGAATTTGCAGTTTGGAAGAAACGAAGAAAACAAAGTCTTAACCTAGGGTTTCACACCCCTGAATGTTTCACACAAACAGTTAGGCTAATACCATATTTTTCATTTCAGTCATCAATGATTTTTTTTCATGATTACAACATGGTTTATAAAGAGAAAATATTAGAGATTTGCAAATCTCTCACAAAATCAAATTTCTCAAAATAAAATCTCACCAAATAAAAATTCCCTCAAATCACTCAATTACCAAAACTGATAACTACTAAATTTAACCAAATTCGAAATTCAAATTTAAACTACTAAAAACCGAAATAAATAAAAACAAAAGTCAAATAACAACTAATATGGAAGCTTGTCCTCATCATTCTCCCCGGGTGGGAGAAAACTCGACTCCATCGAGTTAGCTGCAGAACCTTGTAATCTTCAATATAGTCTGCCTGCATTTTAATCTGCCATCATATACTTTCCTGCATCTCAAATCATTAGTTAAATTGCATTGTAAATTCACTATCTAAAATATTACCAAAATTCACTGCTGCATGGGTGAATATATAAAAGTGTGGTAAAGTGAAAGAACTCTCAGAAACAATAGGTTAGGGTCAGGCTTATATCAGTGGACTGCCAATAACATTGTGAACTGCTTAATCAATCAATATTGAGAATAGAACTATGACCAAATCGATAATATAAATGTTGCTATTAATTAGTTCAAGAGTTGGAAAAGCTCATAAATATCATGTCAAATCTTAAACAGCAATAAAGAACTGTATTGGACAAGTCCAAACCATCTAAAATATCAGTATTAACAATTGTAAATAACGTCCTGACTCCATATCATATATTTCAGCTAACAATGTATTTATTCAAATTAGATCACTGATTCCCCAATATATGATCAATGCAAAATAACAGTGATGTAAATCAACTCAAATGAGTATGTATGAAATGCAGACTCGAACAATATGATCAAAGGTAGATGTAAACTCAACGAAGTACTTAACATGCATAACATCCTCGATCAAAAGGAATAATTAGGCGTTCCTTCGTTAATATGAACAACTGATAGTGAGGAACGTGTAAACAAATGCATGAAAGAGGAGTGTTTCTGTGCGCTTAATATGAGAGAGAAAGGAAATGAAAACACTCGTGCTCAAACTTGTATCCCTAATCACTATATATTCCCAAAAAAGATCAGTATATGTGTAAGTGACTACTGGGACAATGCATGGGGATTTGATATCTAATATGGTAGCTGTTTCACTATGCTCAGTTTGAGTTTCAACTCCCATACAATTATCTGAGTGAATTACTTCAAGAACCAAATTTGAAACGTGTTGGGTGTCATGTTTGTCCGGGAGGACTTCGTGGGGAATATCAACAACGTTTTCAATCACAGGAGTTGGTTCAGGAAGAGTTGGAGTTTTAATTTTAAGAACAACTTTAGGGATAACACCAGTGGACTCCGTGATCAAAGGGGTAGCTTGGGGAATAGTCGGAGTGTTGTCATTGCATGAAAATTCAATCAACTCCACAATGGCAGGGGTAGTTTCAGAAGGAATGGAAGTGCATGGTTCTTCGATTATACTACCATGGATTTTATTGTTAGAGTTAGATTCTGTCAAATCTACGGCCTGATTAACAGTTTCCTCAATAATAGATTTTGATTTCGTTACATGCGGCTTATTAATTCTAACTCTGAACGGAGTTGTACAGACAGAAGCAACGTGCCCATATCCTTGACAATTATAACACTGAATTATTGTGCTAAGTTTTGAGAGAGATCTCTCTGACTTCTGGCCTTTGGGATCAACTCTAGATTGGGAAGAACTAGGGTTAGATCGGCTCAGAGACTGACTAGAGGTATTGACACAGGAAAACGGGGAGGAATGAGTTTGAAAATTCTGAGCCCTATGAGATTGGTGTAATTTGGCTTCATCTAACTCTTGAACTAAGGCGTAAGCTCTCTCAAGGGTGTTTACTCCTCTAGCAAAGAGTTCGGTTTGGAGGTCGCTTCTTAATCCATCTCTAAATTTTGATAAGACTTTTATCGGTGCCTCTGGTTCAATGGTGCTGCATCGAGTAAATAATTCATCAAATTGAGCAAAATACTCTTTTGCAGATTTGGTTCCCTGAGTAAGACAATGCCACTTATCTAGCAATCTATAAATAAACGATGGCGGGAGATATTTTCGTTTCAGTTCGTCGGCCATTTCTCTCCAAGTAAAAATTGGTAGCTCACCTCTAATATGCCTTATCATTTCGAAGTTGGACCAATATTGGCAAGCGGGTCCGGTGAGCTTCATTGTGGCAAACTTGACTTTTTGGGATTCCGTCAGTGTGTACCAATCGAAGTAGAGATCCATGCTCTTCAGCCAGTCAAAGAAAGTGTCTGGGTCGAGCCTACCATCAAAGGTTGGTGGATCAGGCACGGGTTGCGGTGGGGGTCGATGAACTATGTATCCATGACCTTGCGGTGGGTATTCATAGCCTTGACCTTGTGGCGGCGGAGTTGTAATCCACATTTTTTTTAGCCTCACTAATCTTTCGTAGGTTTCATCAATTTGTGCTGCTAGTTCAGCGAATTTCTCAAGGAGTTCGGGATCGGTGTTACCTGACAGGCTGGACTCACTAGATGATTCACTAGACTCTTCTAATTAGGGTAGATCTATGCGAGTGGGCATGCACTAACAATTAGATGAGATGAATGGTGTGCACAAACAGCTAAATGAGATGAATGAGTTTTTTTTTAATATCAAATAAATGACTCAACTAATCAAAAAATAAAAATAAAAATAAAAAATTTCCTACCCTAGAACCATGCTCTGATACCAAAAATGATGTAAAAAGAGGGAGGGACTCTATCAGAATCAACGATTTAATTCGAATAATACAACGTTTCGCCAAAATTCATAATATTCGGTAGGAAATTAATTTAGAACAGTTAATGTGACCGATGGATTTTAATAAGATTTGCAATGATAGTCATAAACAATTCCAATCTTGAATAATTTAATCGCAATATTAATTATCATTTCGCAAGTTCTAAGATCAATATCAAAATTTAGCAGTCACATGTTTAGTACTCTCAACTCACAAAATTAATCAAGCAGTGACTTATATGATAAGAATTTAGAGATAAACTAGTCTTTGCAATTAACTAATAAAGTGAAATTAGCAGAAAAATACTGAGTGAAATTGATACCATCGTCGGGCTGAAAATCAGATCCGAATTAACCGCTGTTATAATCAATCTGAACAGTTGATTCTGAAGTTGATCTTCAGTTTAAGCTACAAACAGATCCTTGTGCAATGATCAGGGCAGAAGATTTGTGGGTTCGTTGCTGCTTCGAAGCGGATGAAGGCAGAGAAAGGGGCGTCGGAGATCGGAAACGTAACTCTGTACTTGGTGTTCTAAGTGGTTTAGCATATCTCTGTACTTGGTGTCTGGATGTTGGGAGATGCTGAGAATGGGTGGAGGCGGATCTGAGGGAGATGTTGGGAGCGGTTGTGGGAGGAAAACAAAAGAGCAGAGGGTGACCGGTGCTTGTAGAGGAGGAGAAGGAAGAGAGAGGGGATGCACAGCTGGTGGCGTTTGCTGAAGGAGAGAAGGGGAGGCTGGCGGCGCTGCTGCTCGGGGAAGAGGGAAGGCGGGGAGTTGGTGCGGCTGTTGGAGGGGACGATGGGGAGATGGTTGCGGGTTTTGAAGAGGAGCAGGAGAGGTGTTTGATGGTTTCTGGGAGTTGACGTGAATTGAAGGAAAAAAAAGGAAGAAGATGAACAGTGCCTGAGTTTATTAAGAGGAGAGAAGAAGGAATTTGCAGTTTGGAAGAAACGAAGAAAACAAAGTCTTAACCTAGGGTTTCACACCCCTGAATGTTTCACACAAACAATTAGGCTAATACCATATTTTTCATTTCATTCATCAATGATTTTTTTTCATGATTACAGCAGGGTTTATAAAAAGAAAATATTAGAGATTTGCAAATCTCTCACAAAATCAAATCTCTCAAAATAAAATCTCACCAAATAAAAATTCCCTTAAATCACTCAATTACCAAAACTGATAACTACTAAATTTAACCAAATTCGAAATTCAAATTTAAACTACTAAAAACCGAAATAAATAAAAACAAAAGTCAAATAACAACTAATATGGAAGCTTGTCCTCATCAAAACTTACCTTCATTGTTCTATGAATATTTACAGGAAGGGCATAAGGAGTATAGTTTTGGAGAGATCTGAGACTTTAAGAGCTACAGGAGCTGGTATTTCTATCTACCTCAATGGTTGGCATGCACTAGACCATCTTGGAGTGGGAAATCAGCTGCGCGCAAAATCTACACCTATAAATGAGTATGCATTATCCTTTGCACACAGATTTTCAGTTATTATTATCATTTATATGTACGTGTACATGCATACAGAGATGGATAAATAGATTATCATGTTTTCTATAATTCTCAAAGTTTCGATATCGATAAAATTTTCACCTTGTTGTATTCAGGATACATGGGGAATGGGTATACAATGATGATACTGAAGTAATACCAATCAGGTACAAACACAATCAATGTGCAGTTTAAAGGTTGTTATTATTTGGTATTGTGACAGATTTACCGTGTATCAACACCAATCTCAAACTAGCTAGCGTTTCCGCTTTTATTTGGTAAAATTTTCCATTTCCTTTTGTCTTCTAGCAAAGAAGGGCTCAGATGTGTGAAAAGAAGCGATCTCATCGAGGCTTTGGCTAACAGTCTGCCTGCTGAGTCGATTCGTTTTGGGTGTCAAATTGTGGCAATTGAAACTGATCCAGTTACCTCCTTTCCTATTGTCCATACTGCAGATGGTTGCATCATGAGAACAAAGGTAAACGCTCGAAATAGTCTATATATGAGAAAAGTACTGAATATTGATTAAATCGAAGCAATCTATTTATCAGATTTTGATTGGATGCGATGGCTCCAATTCGATTGTAGCAAGTTCATTAGGACTAAAACCTGCAAACCTCTTTCAAACACGAGAGGTAAGAGGATACACGAGTTATCCAAATGGACACGGCCTGTCTAACCATTTCCTACATCTAAAGGGTGACAAATTGTTCGTTGGAAGAATTCCTGTCGATGAAAACTTAGTCTTCTGGTTTGTAGACCAAGAATTCCATCCTAAAGGTATTTCAAATATTTAAAATCCATATCAAAATTTTGAGTTTGATTCTAATGTTATGAGACACAATGTTAGATTTGGAAACGAGAAGAGATCCGATACTCATCAGGGATCGAACACTAGAGGCAGTCAAGGACTGCCCTAAAGAAGTGATTGAAATGGTGAAGCATTGTGATCTCAGCTCGCTCTCCCTCACCCGTATCAGATATCGTGCACCATGGCACCTAGCGTTAAAAAATCTCTGTAAAGGTACAATGACAGTGGCTGGCGATGCTATGCACCAAATGGATCCATCCATCGGCCAAGGAGGCTGCACTGCACTTGAAGATGCAGTGGTACTCGCCAGAAGCTTGTCCCGAGAAATGTCAGTCATTCAGTCAGAAAGAAAAATAAGCGATCAAGAGATACAGAATAGAGCGGAAGTGGCATTGAGAAGATACACAAGTGAAAGGAAGTGGAGGATTCTGATATTATCAACCAAGTCGTTTCTCATTGGATCTCTGTTTGGTGCTTCTTGGCTCAAGAGGTTCACATTCCTCACTTTATTCTCTACATTCTTTGGCGGCAGGTTTGGCCACACTCAGTATAATTGTGGGCATCTTTAGAAGTAGAGGGTCTACGGAATAAAATTCATGGATATGTACATGAATTCTAGACTTTTATACTTAGAAGATGATATAAACATCAAACTTTTTTGATGATAATTAAGGAGTACAGTAGTGTTTCAAGAGTTATGAATATTTCTATGGTTAAGTGAGCCATAATTATGTGAAATTGGGTTTGATGAGTTTACAGAGAAAAAGGGCTAATTTTAAAAGCTAAGTATATACTCTGCATCAGTGCTTACTAATTAGTCTGTAACTTGAACTTGTGCTGAACTATGAATAGTTCAGGATCACAGTAAATGAGATAAATGCTTTCCTGAAAATATCTTAGATGATGTTTTTTTCGTGTAGATATTTTGAGATTACTGAGTATGAGTTGAACATGAAAAGGTATCGGTTATATCTGGATCAATGCTTTTAGTTGGGTAAATTACAGAAAACTCCCCGAAACTTTTAGGGAGCTGCAGTAAACCCCCATCAAACCCTCTTGAACTTTGTTTATTCCCCTACGTCCTAAAAACCTTTTGCACAAATTCCCATGGGTTAACACCGTTATTTTAACCCCAAGCACACGTAAAACATGTGACTTCAATTGATCAAAATCCTTCCCCTATATATATCGTTAGGTGTGTGACAGAGGACTATGTTTTTCACATGAAAATCATCTTTATTTTTACTCGAATTGATGGGAACTAGCTTGTTGATGTTTTATATTTTTTTGATAGAAACCACCTTAACTTACTTGAATGTTTGCAATGTCACACATTCTGGCGAATACTGCTATTATTTTTGGTGGAATTCCACAAATATCCTCATCCCTCATCCCCTCCCTCCGCCCCTCATCTAATTTCCCTCTATTCAGCTAACATTTCACCCTCACCTCCTACATCTTCTCCCTCCTCCCTTCACTGCTCCTCTCAACCCTCACCCTAATTGAGTCAAGGCAGTCGAAAGAGAAGTTTCTTCGGGATAATTCATCGATCTGACAGAGGAAGGAGGAGATGGCTGTTGCACGTCGGCGGAAGCGTGCACACGAACCAACACGAGTCAGCAAGCAACGGGAGGAGAACAACCAATGAGTGCAATTCACAAAAGAACGACACATACCAATCACAAACACAGAGAATTACGTGATTCGACAAGTTGCCTACGTCCACGGGGAGAGGATGGGGAGATTTTACTATATGAAGGAAAAATACAATGGGTTACAACTCTCTCAAACACTCAAAATAACCCTAACTAACAATCTCTCACTCCCTCACTATAATCTCCCTCTCAAAGTGCTCAAAAGACTCTCTTTTCTCTATACAAATCTCTTCTAAAATGTTCTATATATATAGAAACCCTAAAACCAAAATAGACCAGGAATCAAACAATTTTAAAACCAAAACAAAAAAGACTAGGAATCCCAATAATTCTAAAACCAAAACCAAAACAGACTAGGAACCATGTTTGGCCCAATAACATGCTATCCAACAATTCTCCACCTCGACAAAGTGTTCCCAAAACTGAGCCGAATGCAACAAGAGCATAATTATGTCGTCTCTCCAAATCCGGCTGCACCAATGTAGTTGTCTACGTACCCCCTCTCCTAAGGGATCAAGCCGTCCGTAGTTCCTCCAAATGACCTCAACAGGCCTCAATAAGCACGAATCGGCAACAAGCTTCTACACACCAATTTCTCCTTTCCTACAGCTCGAAACCCCAATGGCTAAGTTATATAAATTTCTTCATTAAGATCACCATGAAGAAAAACTATTTTCACATCCAACTGATCCAATTCCAATCCATATTGTGCCACTAAAACTAACAAGATCAGAATCGAAGAGTGCTTCACCACCGGAGAAAAGACTTCATTGTAATCAATGCCTTCTTTCTGTGTATAACCCTTCGCAACCAATCTAGCCTTAAACCTCATAGGAGTGTCCTGAATTCCCTCCTTTGGAACCAATAGCCTTCCGCCCATTTGGAAGCTCAACAAGCTCCCATGTGTCGTTCCTATGAAGAGACTCCATCTCCTCCAGCATAGCCTCCTGCTATAAATTAGCCTCTGAACTCTGCTTAGCCTCTCTGAATGTAGTAGGAACCATCTCGTCGTCACTCTCCACCGGATGTGCATATGCAACGACTGTGTTTGTATACCTCGCTGGTAACCGTATGTCTCTCCTCGGATCCGAACTGCAATCGAATCTTGAACTTGAGCTGTCGTTCCCTAATCCTGCTCTGTCGTATTTCTATCCTCCAAATCATCACCGTGCTCTCATGGCATCACCTCAGTCGGCACTCTAATGGACACAATTCTATCTGGACTCTGTGAAACTGCATCAATCTTCACCACCTGCGATATCTCCTCTGTCGGGGTGCTCTCCACCCGATGAGAGCTGGTAGGCTTCAAGAGCGAAACCTCATCGAATGTGACGTCTCTACTCAGCACAATCTTTTTCTCAACTAAATCCCAAAGCTTGTATCCTTTCACACCACGCTTGAATTCCACAAATATGGCCTTCCTAGCTCGAGGTTCCAATTTATCAGTTCTGACATGATAAAATGCAGGGCACCTAAATACCTTGAGCTGATCATAGTCGTGTGCTGACTCTTCCAACCACATCTCCATAGGGGTTTTCCCCTCAATCGCAGATGAATGCAGCCTATTAATGAGGTGGCTCGCATATGAAAGTACCTCAGTCCAAAAGATCTTCTCCAAACCACTCTGCGATAACAAACATCAGACCTTCTCTAGTAAAGTCCGATTCAACCTCTCTGCTACCCATTCTGCTGTGGTGTATGACTAAGTGTGAAGTGCGTCTCTATGCCCTCGTCTCGACATAGCTGCTGTAAGGGGTTTGAAGTGTACTCGTCGCTATTATCGAATCTCAACGTTTTGATCTTTCTCTCTGTCCGCAGTTCCAATCTTCTCTTCCACTCCACAAATATCTCTAGGACTTCACACTTCTTCGTCATGGTGTACACCCAATAACGCCTAGAATAGTCATCTATAAACGTGACGAACTAATATCGACCACCAAGTGATGCCGTCTTGGTGGGACCCCAAACATCCGTGTGCACATAGTCTAAGATGCATGTTGTCCTATGAATGACTGTCCCGAACTTCACTTTAGTCTTTTTGCTAAGAACACAGTGCTTACAGAATTCAATCTTCCCACTCTTGGCTCCCTTCAATAGCCCCTGCTTGCATAGCGCCTGTAGTGATTTTTCACCTGTGTGCCCCAATATGTAGTGTCAAAGTCTGCTCGTGTCCGTCTCTGAAACTATTGAAGCTACCTGCCCAATCTCGGTGCTTCCATTCAGATAATATAGATTCCTAATACAGACTCGCTTTATCACTATCAAAGATCCATTAGTAACTTTTGCTACAACGCTCTCAAAAGTCATATTGAATCTCTTTGCCTCCAAAGCTCTAACGGAAATAAGATTCTTCTTCAGTTGAAGAACAAATCTCACTTCATTCAATTCACGAATAACTCCGTTGTGTATCCGAATCCTGACGGTACCTATCCCACAAATACCATAGGACTGATCGTTTCCCATGACCACCACACCCCTATCGAGCTTCACGAAAGATACAAACCAATCTCGTCGGGGAGTCACATAATAAGTAGCACCAGAATCCAGCATCCAATCCGATGCATCAACATGGTTAACCTCTAGAGTAATCAATAGAGAAAAGCATGAATCATCTGAATCATTACCACTCTTAGAAACATTCACCTCGCTGGTATTCGGGCCCTTCTTCTTGCTATTCTCCTTCTCTCTGAGCTTCGGTCAATCTCTCTTCTAATGTCCTTGTTCTTTGCAGAAAGCACACTGATTCTTCGCTAATTGGTAGTGCCTCTTGATTTTGATCTGCCTCTGTTGCCACCTCTTGGATAGGGACTGCTACCTCTCGTCAACAAGGCCTCTCCTGAAGTGCTAGCTCTGGAAGATTCTTTATCCTTCCTCCGCAAGTCGAAATTCGTCAATGCATTAGTCACTTGTAGGCCGTCTAAAAATTACCGCATATAGCTTATCCCTATCAAACACCGATGATGGAAGCTACAATTTGACGGCTTCCAGAAGACTACAATTTGAAGATTTTCACGTAGATCGATGAAGGTTATAATCTGATAACCTTCACAATAATCGATGAAAGCTCTGATCAATAATCTTCACAATCAACAGTGAGAGTTACAACCTGACGACTCTCACATATCAAAGAGCTAAAGCAAACGTTATAAACGACGATCTTTGCAACGCTCTGACAAAAAGAGACTACAAATTAACGGACTCCTCAAATCAAGACGCGGAAGTCCTCCCCGCGTACCAGCATCAAGACGCACCGCATTCACAGCCGCTGACGCAGTGCAAACACAACTCACATTCAGCTCCAAACGCTACAAACGCAGCTCAGATCCAGCTACCAACGTAGCTTATGTTCAGCTGCAAACGCAGCCTCCGAAAGCTACCAACGCAGCTTCCATCCGCTGCTAAACGCAGCTTCCAAGCTGCCAATACAGCTTCCAACAAGATACCAATGCAACTTTCAAATCACTGCAAACACAGCCTCCAAATGCTGCAAACGCAGCTTCCAGACGCTGCAAACGAGCTTCCAGATGCTGCGTTTGAATGCAGAATTCATGTCAGAACGCGAATTTTGCGTTTGACTCGTTCAAACACGAGCTGAACGGTTTCAAAACCGTTTTCCATGATGTGAGGGTATCACAACTCCACTCAGGAGTGATTTAAGGAGCGGTTACATCCCATTAGCCCCACAAAGGAGCAATTTTTGGGACGGTTACACCCCCTAATCGCCTATAAATAGCTGAAAGATCAGCTTAGTTTGGGGAGGGGAGAGAGAGGGGAAATCTTTTGGATCTTTGAGTATTTTGGAGATCTGGAGATCTAGAGATCAGCTTCTTCGGATCATCTTCTCGACAACAGATTCTTGGGGCTATCTTCGGGCTTGGCTTGTCTAACCAATTACGGTTAAGATCAATCAACTCTTTTACAAGAGTTTAAACTCGCTCTGAATTATCAACTCGTTCAGAGTTTCAAACTTGCCATGCAAGTCCTCCACAGCATTAAATCGTGAGGAGAAGATACCGTTCCAGTGAAACAAGACGTTCAGATCG